GAGTGTGCTGGGCATTTTGGCGAGCCCTGATTCGTTTTCATGGACGTCGATCCCCAGTGCTTTTCTAAAGGAAAATCCTTGGTGAGAGTGGAATGGGGGTTGTCTTGGGAGATAAGGGGGTCCTTCCCATTCAGGTCTGCCCCTGCCCTGTGGCTTAGGCTATGCCCAGCCTTGTCTGTGAGCTGTTTGTCTATCTTTATCTCTCCCTGAGGACAGAAGCTATATCTACCAACTCACGATTTTGGGGAAGAAAGGGAAGTCAAGCAGCCAGGCCCACGTACTGTTGCAGAATTGCCTTAATGAGTTGGATTTCCACTCTGATCCATCAAAATGCATGGCGTGACCTCAGATAGCTCCCTTGTCTTCTGGGCCTCCCTTTCCCCTTTATGGCATGAGTGGCCCTGAAACTTGATGGTGGCTCAGCCTCTCCAACCCATGCATTCCCTCATCCTGGAATGAAGTCACTGAAGGCAGGAGGAATGGGCTAGATAAAGAGCTGGAAAGTGCATGAGGATTTGGAGAAGTCTGTGGGGCTGGCAGGGGATATCGCCCCTCAGGAGAGAGAGCTCCACGTGTGGGCTCCAGGGAAGGCTGAGGGCAGGCACATAGTGAAGGCTCCAAATATTTCTTAAAAGGATGAAACAGAAATCTCCAGGACAAATGTGGAGGTGAGACTGTGGACTCGTGTCCCACCCTCTTTGTTTCCCAGGAAGGAGGACAAAGTCTACAGCAATACTCACTGGATTTTGTTCCTAGGTCTTCTCTCACGTCCAGCAGGGGAGGGAGGATATGTCTTACCACCACTTAGTTCTAAACCTGCTTCAAAAAATAATGTCTAATATGTCTAGCACGATCTCCCCTTAAAACATTGTCAATCCTTTAAAATAGGTGGGCCCCAGCCCATAGCTGGGACACCCAGGGCGTTGGTGCTGGTCTGCGGTGCCGAGAGGCACATCTTTAGGACGGGGCCTGAAACCCTGTAGTCCAAGGGAGGGCACTGACTTTATGCAAGTGCTGTGCCCTCCATGGAGAGCTCTGGAAAGGACTGCAGGGAAACTGGGGTCTCAGGGGCTCTGGGGTTCCTCAGGGCAGGACAGGACACCTCTGTCCAGCCTTGCAGGAAGAGGCCCCTCACTGAGCAGGGGGCACTGTGGCTGGCTGGCAGTCACTCACTAGGGCTCAAGCCACTGGGGAGGGGAACCCGTCCAGAGCACCCTAAGCTTTTTAGTCTCACTGGCTTGAGGACCGAGACTGCATGAACTTTTCCCTGCCCCAAATTGCCATGCTCGGAGTGGTTCTGATTCCTGCAGGGGCTGTTTGCTGCTATCTTGTTTTCCCAAACTACCAGTGAGAGTAAGAATGAACGGACTTCCAGGATTCTTGTTGAAAGTGCTAGCCTATCCCTCTTCCCCACCGCCAGTCTCTTCAATTGGCTGATTCCCATTACGAAGCCCATCAGGACAGTGTGGGAGGTGAAAGCAGAGCCCCTCCCCAGGGACCCCCTCCGCATGCAGACCCAGGGTGCCTGCGCCGCTCCTTCAGAGGGCTCCTCGCCCGGCTTGGATCTGTCTTCAGGAGGAATGACTCCTGAGTCAGGGCCATACTATTTCATCTATTCATAAGAGAAAGGAATCGATTCCCCAAATGAAAAGGGAATGTGGGAACAGGAGAGTCAGAGAGGAGTTGCAAGGCGGATGGTAGCTTTAACTGCCCCATGTGGCCCCCACCAGGCTCAGGTCCTATCTTGTTCTTTTTCTTCCTGATTGTGTTTATTTATTTTATTAGGGTGACAACCACACACAAACACACACTCCAAACTAAAAACCAACAAAGAATTGCTCAACATGGACAGTCTATCAGTTTACTGGGAAATAACCAGTTGCTCAGCTATTTTAATGAATAGAATAAAAGTTAGCCTCCTCAGGCATTTGGGACTGGTACCCATCTAACAAGTTTGAATCGAGTTCAGAGCCTGTGATGACGAATGGAGAGGCCCAGAAATGGGGCTAGTGTGGGCTGTTTGGGGGAAGAAAGGCCAGGCTGTTGGGACTCCATGGGGCAGGGCAGGGGGCTGGTGGGGACCCCAGTGACACAAGCTCGAGGAGGTGGGGTAAGCTGAGACCCGGTCAAGGTGTGGTCCTTGTCTCCACCCCCAGGGGCAGCGAGGTGATTAGCAGCATCTAGTGGGGAGGAGGCCAAACTATCACTCCCCTGGCCCATTTAGCAGATGAAGACACTGAGGCTCGAAAGGGTTGACAGACTTCTTCTGGGCCACCTCACAGACACACAAGCAGGAGAGGACCAATATCCAGACTTTTAATTCCATAATCAGTTCTTGTTCCAAAAACTTGGAGAAGTAGAAAACACTTTTAGGGGCCACTGACCGAGCAATGTGTGTGTGTGTGTGTGCGTGTGTGTGTGTGTGTGTGTGTGTGTGTGTGCTGTCCATGCCAGAAGCTTCCAGCAGCTTCCCTCCTCTGCTGCAGTTTCTGTGGGTTCTGGCCCTGTGCCTGGACCCACACTCTGCTCCAAGCAGGTTACCCAAAGGCTTTGCATCTCTGCTGGCTGGTGGTGAACCTACTGCTGAGATAGTTCTCTCCATACCTTGATGGAGGTGGCTAACTTCTCCATTCCCGGGTGTTGGGAATTAGCTCCCAGGCAGACACCATCTACTCTGAATACAAGAAGCTTCTATTTTTATTTCTTTTCTTTTTCCCCCCCAAAATTTTATTTAAATTCTAGCTAGTAATCATATAGCGTGAAATTGGTTTCAGGAGTAGGATTTTGTGATTCATCACTTCCGTACAATACCCAAGGCTCATCCCAACAAGTGAAGCTCCTATTTTTAAACCAGGCTGACTCTGTAAACAGTCCAGCCCACTAACCTGAGAGATTGAATCCTTTCCATTTTTAATTTTCTTTCCTTTATCTGAAACATCCTCAGGGGCTTTACAAATCTTGCCTTCTATAACCTATCTTCAGACAGTCCCTAGAGCCCTTGTCCATCACCAGCTATGTTTAATTTTTACTGAAATCTATGTCATTAGGAGTGGAAGGTGCGGAGAGATCACCTAAGCTCAGAGAGGGGGCATCCTTTTTGAGTGTCACACAGCAGAGAAGGGTGTGAGATCGGAGCCAGGAGTCCTCACTGCTTGGTAGTCCTGGGATTTTTTTATACACACTTGTATTTGTTAGGATGTTTTTGGTCTCGTATAGCTGCTTTTGGTCTCATGTAACCCACACTAGCACTGCTGGAAGTCTAGAAACAAGGTGGGTGGGCTCCGGATTCACCTGATCTGTGGCCCCAGCTCCAATTTCTCTGCAAAGCCCTGCATGCATTCACACTTTCCTGCCCCGGACATCCAGAGAAAGGGAGAGGGCAGCACCCCCATACGCCAACAGAGAGCCCTGAAATTCACCTTCCTTGGATCCCTGAAGTCCTGTGCCCCTCCCTGAACAGCTCTCAGGGCTGAACCTCACTGTGACCTGGTTGGATTGGGTCCAGCTCCTGAACCACACCCCCTTGGACCTGGGGAGGTGGCCCTGCCCCTGAGGCACATGGGCGGTCTAAGGAGGGGGAAACACCTAGAAAAATGAAGTTCCATCAGGAAGATGGAAGCAACGGGTAAGATCCACTAGAATTTTCAAACCCTGGGTCAGAGCCTCTTTGAAGACCTTGTCGTCTGTGCTGCGGGCTGTGTCCACAGGACCTGGCATAGAGGGTTTGAGGCCACAAAGAACTTGGGGATTTGGGGCACTCCCAGGCGCAGGTCCCATGCAGGTGTTCATTCATCCTCTCATTCAGTCAACTGGAAAGAGCCTACTCAGTGCCGGGCACCAGGGATTTAGCCGCGTGGACCCTATTGGTGCCGGGCCCGGTTCCCCCAGGCTGGTGGTGATATGCGGGTTAGTTGCTAACAGCTCACAGCTTCCCTCCCCAATCCAGAAAACTGCCTTCGGTGAGCAGAAGCTAACTGAACCCAGGAAGTTCTACCCCAGGCCCCGGGTCTCCTGGGGGCAGACCCTAGCTACTGACCACTGTCCAAGCGGCCTGCATCCTCATCCCACAGGGTTGAGGCTGCCCTGTGGTTGATGCTCCAGAGCCCTCTCCCGTGGATCAGGCCAAGTCTCCATATTACGAGGGGCCAGACCCTTGCTCACTTCCTTCCCTTTCTGTCCTGCTTCCCTCACTTCCTGAGGAGTTTCTCCTATACGGGCAATGCCCGAATCCCCATTTCAAGCTCTGCTTCTCAGGAATCCAATCTAAGACAACCATGAACAGCTTTTACCGTTGAGGACTGCACTATTTCCCGTGGATTGCAGGTAAACAGAGATGTAAATTACAGGAGAACCCATAGTAATAACAAAGGATCGAGCGAAAAAATCTGCTTTCATTTGACACATAAATTGGTGTAAAAATCATTGGCAGCACCATGTCCAACTAGAGAAATCAACAGGCTTTTTAGAATATCATACTTTTGGCAGCTCTCTATAACCTTAGGACTAGAAATGAAGGGAAAGCTAAAAATGAAACTTTTGTGCCCCCAAAACTCAGTCTTGTTGGGAGATTCTGAGCTGAGAAGTGGCTACAGGAGCAGCAATCCTGGAGCCAGCAGATTTGGCTTTTCCTCTCTATCACACTGCCTCTCTTTCCTGGAAAAAGCGTAGGGAAAGAAGTTTATTAGAGACCTGGGTTCCCCTGGGATGTGATCTTAGACAAAGGGCTTTATTTCTGCAAATTAGTCAGGATTCTTTTGGTTGTAAGGAAAAAAAAATCCAACTCAAACCAGTCAACCCTAAAAGGGAAATGTATTGGCTCTTGTAACTTGGAGAAACAGAAGTGTGTGAGCCTCAGGTAAAGCTTGATCCAGGGACTCCAAAGATGTCACCACATATGTCTCCCCATTTCTCTCTTTCCATCATAGGGGCAGTGGGGTTGTTTTGTTCCTTTTTTCTGCTAACCTCAAGTCTACTACTCAACAGGACAATCTCCAAGGAAAATGAACCCCTTGATGGACCTGGGCCTACTTTTGGCTGGCCTTCTCACTGTGGAAGGTCTTCTGAAGTCCGACCTCCCTCAGGGACTGCAGTATCGTGGACCTGTGAGCCAGATCCAGTCATGGAAGGGAAGGAAGGCAGCCGAGGAGCTCACAAAGCGAAACACAGACTTCAGTTGCAACCTTTATAGGAAGCTGGCCTCCAATAGCCCCAACAAGAACATCTTCTTCTCCCCCTTGAGCATCTCCGCAGCCTTCTCCATGCTGTCTCTGGGTGCCCAGGACTCCACCCTGGATGAGATCAAGAGGGGCTTCCACTTCAGGAATATGCCAGAGAGAGACCTTCATGAAGGCTTTCATTACCTCATCTACAGGATGAATCAGGAGAGCCAGGACCTCGACCTGGACCTTAAAAACACCTTGTTCATCGACCGGAAGCTGCAGCCACAGAAGCAGTTTCTGACAGATGCCAAGAACCTGTACGATTCAGACACTGTCCCCACCAACTTCCAGAATTTGGAAGGTACTAGGAAGCAGATCAATGACTATGTCAATCAGAAAACCCAGGGGAAAATCAACAACCTGATCAAGAATATAACCCCTGGCACTGTGATGCTTCTTACAAATTGCATTTTCTTTCGAGGTAAGGCTTGGGGCATGTTGGTATGGAAAGGATAGGATTTCCAGTAGACTTGGATTAAAGACCTGGTTGGCCACATGCTTGCTCTGTGACATTGAATTCATATATAATTAATCTTTCAGAACCTCACTTGTCCTATGTAAAATGAGTGCCTTTATATGTAACTCATAGGGCAGTTGTTGGGACTCAAAGTAAAAATGCATGAGGAATGAATTTGGGGAAGTCTACATTATTCTCCATATGTGCATTTTCATTAGTACTGATTATCCTAACACAACATTGGTTGTAGAGGTTGGAGTGACATTCTTTTCCCCATTTCTTAGATGAGGAAAGTGTAACACAGAAAGAGATTAATGGACTTAGAGTTACAAAGCCGGGACTAGAACTCACTTCTATTGACCCATAGGCTGTGCACTTTATGTTAATCCAAGTAGACACCCAGGACGGTGATTGTGTTGATGATGATGATGATGATGATGTTCATTTTGGTGGATGCATCGGTCTGCTTGTCACATTCTATAGATTCCCCAAGTCTGAGGGTGAGAGACTAAAAAAAAAAGATGAAAAAATATTCCCAAATCCAAGCTTCAACACTCCCACGCCACCACACACACCCGCTCACCTGCCTGATGCACACACAAAGTTGGTCAGCATGGGTGAGAATCAGAGGCCCTCAGGTCAGGCAAGATCTCTGCTGGACTGTCAGGGACATGGTCCTGAATACAGAAGTTCAGCTCTCCCAAAATCCACAGTGAGACTGATGGCATAGAGGAAAAGAGCAGAGGGAGAGAAGAGAATCTGGAGTTTTCCAAAGTCCCCACATCACTTAGATTACAAAAGCAATGGCAACAGTGAGGCTGATGATGACTAGCATCCACTCAACACTCACTGTACAAGATCACTGAGCTGTCCTGCCTTTCTTTCTTTTTTTCTTTCTTCTTTCTTTCTTTTTCTTTCTTCTTTCTTTCTTTCTTTCTTTCTCTTTCTTTCTTTCTTTCTTTTTAAGATTTTATTTATTCATTTGAGAGAGAGAGAGAGAGACAGAGAGAGCACAAGCAGGGGGAGCAGCAGAGGGAGAGGGAGAAGCAGGCTCCCTGCTGAGCTGAGAGCCTGATATGGGGTTCAATCCCAGGACCTGGAGATTATGACCTGAGCCGAAGGCAGATGCGTAACCATCTGAGCCACCCAGGTGCCCTCTGTCCTGCCTTTCCCACTCAGCCACACAGCAGCCCTATGAGGTACCCATCAAAATCTTCGTTCTTCAGACAAGGACACTGAAATCCAGAGAGGTTAAGACACTTGTCTAAGGTCATCCTTTCAGAACAGTGAAGCCAGAGTTGAATTCAGGGACTTGGCCCTCAGGGCCCCCTACTGGGGGCTCTGAGGTTGGCTGGTGCGAAAAGACCCAGGTCCAAGTTTATGCTCAATGGCATCAAAGAGTTCCCAGGGTGAAAAAGGAAGGGTCCAAACACCCAGCTTTGAGTGTTTGCTGCTCCTCAGCAGGTTCCCAAGAGCAGCCTGTTCCATTGGTTTCCTCATTCCTACATGAGAGCAGCTACTCCAGGCATGACTTAGAATCGAGTATTTTTCACTCACACCAGACCCAAATAACTCCCACTAGGTATCACCCAGACCCCTCTGCTGGAACACAATCCGTGGGCTCGCTCAGCCTCAGGAGCACCTGGGCTTCAGGCAGTCCTCAGTACCCTCTCAGCTCAGCAGCCCTGGTCATGGCTACTTTGGGAACAATCAGACCCAGGCCCCTCTTACTGGGAGTTTCCAGGGCCTGGCACAAAGAGCAGGGACTCCTGGAGCCCTGCCCTGACATCCCAGAGCATCCAAATGCCCTCCTTGAATCCATGTGCACAGAGACCAGTGGTTACCTGGGTCCAGTCAGCCCTTCCCCCCTTTCGGGACACTCATGCCACTTTGTCTTTCTTCACTCCTAAGCCAGGTGGCAACATGAATTTGATCCAAAAGCAACTAAAGAGGAAGACTTCATTCTGGATGGAAACAAGCGAGTAAAGGTGCCCATGATGTTCCATGGCGGCATGTATGAAGCCGGCTATGATAGACAGCTCTCCTGCACTGTTCTGGAAATGCCCTACCAGGGCATGATCACTGCCACCTTCATCCTTCCTGACGAGGGCAAAATGAAGAATGTGGAGGCGGCCTTGAAGAGGGACACTCTTGACAGATGGAAGAAATTAGTCACACGAAGGTACGAGGGTGCTTGGCATATGAAGCTGCTTCCTTCTTCCTGCCTTCCCTTCCACTCTTTGCTTCTTCTAGCCCAGATTTATTGAGCTCTGACCCCATGGCCAAGTCCTATTCTGCGCTCCATGATGAACTTGTGTTTTGGTAGGAAGTAGACCAGAAGGCAAGTCACAGGAATATAGCGAAGCCCTTGTTTGTAGAGGGAGAGGCTTATATCATGAGAGTAGAGGGGACAGAGCAAAACCATGGTCCCCGGTGGTGGTGGCGGAGGGGGGCGCCACGGAGCAGGGAGCACCGGAGCTAAGTCTTCAAGGCCGAACAGTGGCACGTGGGGATGGGAGAGGAGTCATGGAATCCCAGGCAGAAAGGAACCACTAGGACAACCACGGGCTGTCAGAGGGAGCTGTTTATTGTTCACGGAATCATGTTTTCAACTGTAATATCACAACAAAACCAGCGAAGTGTGCCCCAAATAAGTTATAATAGTTGAAGGACCGAAGTGAGTCAATATTTTAAAAAAGAAACCATAAAATTAGAACAGATTTGAGATGAGCCAACAGAATTCTTCTCAGGCACTTGCTTACCAGTCGATTTTCTCGAGAAGGGTCAGGGCTGGGGCTTGCAGGGTCGACTTGGTTAGGAGTGGTGTCGGGATGGCCTCCTCCCTGCTCTGTACACTCTCTCTTCCGTCTTGCCCTCACCCCTGTTTTCCACCCGACAGGTCTTTACCAAGAGCCTCTGCCATGGCTGACATGCTGTTGGGAGCCAGGGAGGATTCTAGGGCAGGTAGATAGGATGCTAGGACAGAGCTGGGCTGCCGTGGGTGCTCTACCACACCAAACAGATCCTCGGGGGAATGGCAGAACACATCTTGGATATCTCAAATGAGCCGAAAGCTCCATAAAAGAGAAATTCCGGTTCTGAATGCTTCAGATAAAGTCGCTGCACTGGGGGGATGGGGAGAAGCAGCAGGCTACATGGCAGGTCATCCCAAGAGGGCTGCTAGGCTTGGGGTCCGCACAGCATCCCCCGATCCTCCCTGCTACAAACCCGGGCTGGCCGTAGTCTTGGCCCCGAGGGCTGCAGAGGGGCTTGGCACAGCAATATGGAGCACCACTTACCGGCCCCAGAGCTGCACCCCATGGGAAATTGGCAGAAATAACTTGGAGATGAGGATTCTGAGTTCCCCTAATCCAACTGGAGGGTCTCAAGTCATCATAATTTGAATCCTAAAGGAAATGTGACCTTACGGAGCCCACATTGCATGAAGCCAGTATTTGTGGATAAAGTGGGGGTAGAGGGAGTGGAGCCCCCTTTCCCTTCACCTCCCATACCCCTCATTCCCCAAGACACCTCTGTGAACTCGGAAACTGTAGGGCACAGGCTGGAAACCACCAATCTCCTTGGCAGCTCATTTCACTCAGAAGAAATGACCCAGCTTGCCTGACGCCTTTGCCTCCTTCAGAGTTTCTCAAATCTTCCCTGAGCCCCAGCATTGCTGATACCCCCAAGCTGATCTGTATTTTTCTCCACTGCACACACTGTCTTCTTATACACAGACTCCCAGTCTATGTATCGATGATTACGGGATGCTTGTCATCGTATGGACTTTCTTGTCTGTCTTCCCTGCTAGAGCACGCACCCAAGGGCACGGGTTGTGCTTCTTCTGTTCACACATGCATCTAGGCATCCGATTTGTAGAGAGGAGGCACTTAATTTGTTAAGCGAATGAATGAGTGGAAAGGTAAGTCTGGGAATCATTGGGCCAATGGCCAGTATTTAAAGCCATGACACTGAATGAGGTTCCTCTGGAGGGAGGAAAGACAGAAGAGAAGAGGACCGAGGGGTGAGGCTTGGAGGATCACAGACAGTCCAGGTGGGCGATGAGATGATTCTGGCAGAGGGTGAGCGAAGGAGTGGCCTGTGAAGCGGGGAAGATGGACCTGGGTTGGAATGCTTCAAGGTGGAAAAAGGGGATCCGCTCTCTGAGAGCTGTCTCTTGGGTCAAGCAAGCTGAGCTCAGCCATGACCCTGGAAAGTGGAAGGTGGAGGGCAAAGACCCAAGTGGAGTGGGCTGCAGCAGTTGTGGGAGGAAGTGGAAATCTCTGGCGGAGACAACTCCTTTCTACTCTGAAAGAAAGAAAAGGAATGGGCTGGAAGCTGGAGAAGGGACTCGGGGCCAGTGGAGATGTGTTTGCTCTTGTTTTGTAGGATATCAATTATCGGAGAACATGGTCTCCTCCTGAGGGTGATCAGGCAGACACCATTCATGATGGATGGCGCAGAACAGATTGGAATGCAGGCAGGGGCGAGGTCCTGGGTAGGCAAGAAGAAATGGGGCTCAGGGCCAGGGGGACAGGAACCCAGGGTCCACAGGTTTCCCGGGACCACTGATCCCAGCCCCCAAGCGGGGAGGCCCATCGGGTCCCACCCACGGAGGATGTGAAGCCGCTAACTCAAGGGCAGAAGGAGGAACACCTGCTGGTCAGGGACTCCTTGAGCGCCCACATGCATTTGCTTTACACTCTTACTGCCCCGTCTGCTGTGATTAGCACCATCGTTTCGCCCAAGTGGCTTAGGGAGGGGAGATCATTTGGTCCACATCACGGGGCTCATGAGAGTCAGAATGCGTTTGAGCTCAGTTCTACCTGGTTTCAGATCCCAGGCCCTTGCTGCCTCTGGCATCCAGCCTGCTGGGTCAAGACTGGCTCAAGGCTTGGGCAAGGCCAGGACTGTGAGGGGGACAACACCTCCGTGTCTGCAACCAAAGAGGCCCTGAGACAGTGGGGACTTGAGACCATTTCTGTGGGTGAGGGCCTGGGGAGGGTGTGCTAGGAAGAACGGGCACGGTTCAGAGAGCATAGATGGTTTGAAGCCAGGGTCCTGGGGTCAGAGTCCCTCCTCGTTGTGGGGACAAAGAGAGGGTCTGAGACCCCCGGGGCTGGGAAGACCAAGGTCCCATTCATCACCTCTCCTGCGGCCTGCCCGGGAAAGCAAGGAGACCCTGCCACTCACCTGTCACCCCCATCTCCCCAGGGTCGTAGACGTGTCCCTGCCCAGGTTCTCCATCACTGGTAACTATGACCTGAAGAAGACGCTCTCCTACCTGGGTATCACCAAAATCTTTGAGGAGCATGGTGATCTCACCCGGATCGCCCCTCATCAAAGCCTGAAAGTGGGTAAGGTAAGCCTGCCCGGCCCGGACGCCACCCCTCCCGCAGGGAGCCTTCTTACAGCCCTGGGCCAGAGCCACTGTCCCAGCAGCTGAATGAGCTGGGTCTGGTCCTGCCAGTCAGGCCGGGCGCTGATCCAGCACTGTCCCTCACCAGCCTTGTCACCCTGGGACAGTCACATCACTTCCCCAAGCCTCATGTTTCCAGTCTTTAAGCTCCTGGTCCCATTTTGGAGGTCGATTCCGTGCAACAAACAAGTGATCAAGGCCTGGCACATTTATCGGTCCTAGAACCGCTCTAGGTCTGACCCAGAGCCTCTCCCAAAGACCTCACGGGCTTGTTGGGAGTAAGCTGCAAACGTGTGCATGACCAAAAGACGAACCAGCCATGGGCCCCGGGGTGTCCAGCAAGGCTGAGCACCTGCCTGCTGGGGGCAGAGAGGACCGTATGGGGTAGGGTCCCCAGGTTGAGCAGATATAATACAGGACACCCAGTTAAATTCACATTTCAGGCAAGTGACCAATAATTTCTTTAGTCCAAAATATTGCATGGAATAGACTTACACTAAAGATATTCATCGTTCATCTGAAATTCAAATTTAATGGTCCATCCCCCATTTCACCTGGCAACCCTACTTTTAGGTTAAAAGGGCATTGGGGGTGGGGAGATTGCAAGGAGCAGAGATAGGTGCGGGGAGGATCACCTAGTGGGAGCAGTATGGCCAGATGCTGGGCTGGGGGAGAGCTTGGCATTATGGGCAGTGGCGATTGGCGGGTTCTAAGTGGGAAGTTCGAGCCAGTCTGGGAGAGATCCCAGTAGGCACTGATTCAGATTTATTTTCCAATTTGCAAGAGGAAGAAAAACAGTAGAATTTTCTCCCTTTTAACATAGACTTCCCGTAAATAGTCAGTGCCAGCTACCCCTTTCCGGGGGCCTTTACTCAGTTCCACGGCTCATTTCTTTTCTGCAGTTAGGTGTGCCCATGGCTGTGATTGTCAATGGCTCCTGGCTGGCGCGCTAGTAAAATTGCTAGGATTTTGTAGAATGGAATGAAATGCATCAGTATGTACAGAACCTTCCATGTCCTAGGGTGAATCACTGCGTCACAGATGTGGGTGCCCTGGGGTAGATCTGGCGTCTCAGTCATCTCTGATGCCCCACCGATTTGGTTCCTTTCTCACTGTCCCCCAGGAAGCTAAGAGGAGTGTGAGCAGGGCTAGAGGCTTCCTGGTGGGGATGTCACCAAGTCTCTTCCATCTAGCTAAGGTTCCGCAGACTCTGCCATTATGTTGCTCAGCACTTCCCTGCAATTCATGGAAGGATAGCGCACCCCACTCCATCCTCCCTGCTGCAGCTGATGCTGCCCCAGCCGCATTGGTCCCTTCACGCTGAGTCTGCTTGTCCCGCATCCTTCTGGCGATGACAGCAGAAGGAGCCTGGGGCGCCTGGCACCAGCCAGGTTACTGCTGTGCTGGGCCACCCTGGCTGAGGCTTCTCCCTCTCTGGGCCTCTCACTGTCCTTGGCCCAGAGTGGCTTCGCGACACTGACCTCGATCCTGATTCCTGCAGGCGGTGCACAAGGCAGTGCTGAAGATGGATGAGAAGGGAACAGAGGGTGCGGCCGCCTCCGGAGTCCAGACGCTGCCCATGGAGACGCCGCTCTCCATCAAGCTGAACAAACCCTTTCTGGTGTTTATTAGGGATAGCGTCCTGCCCACCATCATCTTCTTGGGAAAGATTGTTAATCCTACTGGGGAATAAGGGGGTGTTCCAGCTCGCTGTGGGCCCCAGAGGCAGCCTGGGGCTGAAAATGTTTCATCTGCCTCAAATTGGGATCCCATGACCTTCTAATCTAATCCCACGCCTTCATGAGCTCTCAAGACCACCATCCAAACAGGCAGCGCCGCTGGCACTGGGGGCTCCTGTGCACCAACACACCCCCCCCGTCCCCATCTTCCCTCAGCCCCCTCCCTGCCCGGTCCAGCGTCATTGGGCTTAGATGCCCCACCCCCACCCACTTGGCTGGCTGTGATCTTCTCTCCCTGGAGAGGCAGAGGGACTTTGTGATTTAATAAACACCCCCTCAGTTCTGCTGGCTGTTGGTGGATAATTTGGGGAAGCTATGAGACAAGGCAAGTACCTGGGCTTTGACGTGAGAGAGACCTGGGTTCAAATCTTAGGAACAAAGTGTCTTTGGGAAAGCCACATATCTCCTCCGAGCCTCTATTTCTGTATTCCTGAAACGAGGACAGGGATACTCCCCTCTGGGGCTCTGAAGAAACTAGTGCTGCTTTAGAAAAGCTAGTTCCGCTTGGTGAGCCCCTAGCCTTGGGTCTTTGGTATGTGAGCTACAAAGTCATGTCCCCCCAGGGTCCACATGGGAGTTCGCTGGGCTCAGCCAGGCATCCAATCAGATGGCAAAGGGGAGGTGGGGCTGGCCCAGCATTAGAGGGATGGAGCCTGGAGCAGAAGCAGCTAGGATCCATTGCCAGGTTTGCCTGATTCCAGAGCCCGCCAAGAAGAGTCTGGGGCTTGGACCTGTTAGCAAGCTCAGCTGAAGAGTGAATGGGGTCCCTGCGTCTGCCCTGGAAAACGTGGCCCTGCAGGGTCCGCCCATGACCACTAGGGGGCGCCTGATCATGCCTCAGGGAGCCCTCATTGCCGGCAGCTGATTCCTTGGCCTCCTGCCATGAATCCCCGGGGCCCGAAGAAGTGTTTGAGAGGAGGGCGCACCGACTGGCCTGGCACTACCAAGCCTGCGCCGGCATCAGCTGTCACCCCCTGGGTGTGCCTAGCAATTCACAGCTCACTGTGCCTTTTGAGTTCTGGTCACAGCTCCCCTGTGGGCGGCCATAATGGACATCCATGTGACAGATCCATATGCAGAGCCATGAGGTGACTTTCCTATGGCTATGCGGTTAGCCACGGCCCACAAACACTGGTCTTCTGGGTTAGGGCAGGGACGGGTTCCACGTGGACTTCGGCACCCCGCTGGTCCTTCCTGAGCTCCTCTCCCGGGTACGAGAGCCCCCCCCCCAGGCCAGTCTGGGAGATCTCCTTGTTCCCAGGATCCAGGCCCCTTCGGCTTGTGCGTATTCAATAAGCACCCCCTTCTCCATCCTGGGCACCCCGAGGGCCCTGGAGACCCAGCCCCCACACAGGTTGGCAGAGAAGGCTAGTTTACAGTGTGGCAAGGGCTCAGATGGGGGAGCACCAGAGTAAGCACCCCTCTTTGAGAGGGAGGGAGACAGAGAAGGTTGAGACCCTACACCAGCCTGAGGGGGTGGGGTGGGGGTGGGCAGACACCTGACACACATGGAAATGCTCAGTGGTCAGCTCAGGTCTGCAACATTAGCCACCGGGGACATGCGATAGGTCAGCATTGAATAGCTGGGTGGCTTGGACGTGTCACTTAACTCCTCTGAGCTCCATTTTTTAAAAGGAGGTAGTAATGCCTACCCCAGGGGGGTGAGGAGCTCTAAGGGTTACACGGCACTGCATAGACGCTGAGCCTGGCACATAGCAGGTGTTCGGCAGAGAGCCAGAGCTACGGTCTTCTGCTGCCCTCACTCACGTCTCAGAGGTGACCAGCTCTTTTCTAAAAAATGGTGCTCCAGGCACTTGCCTGTGCTGTCCCCTCGACTGGGAATACTCTCACCCTGCCTGACGAGCTCCTGCTCATCCTTTAATGCCCAGTCCATTATGACATCGTTATGAGATCTTCTCTACCTTTCTGGCAACTTCCAAGCAGCCCTTCAATAAAGCACTCACCTCCATGGCTCCTGGGTCTGAATTTCCCCTCCACCCCGATGTGGGCTGCAATCAATCCCGCATTAAACAATGATTTATGGGGTGGCAACCCGTGCACTAGTTACTGATCCAAACAGACCTGGTTCCTGTCTTCACGTCATTAATATCCAGTGGGAGAAACAGTTGCGAGTCGCCACCCCCATGCATTTCTGATCACGAGCTCCAGTGAGCATGTTGAGAGAAAGCCATGGGTGCCTTCGAGGGTGTGGAACGGGAGTCTGACCCAGGCTGGGGGCTCCAACAAGGCTGAGGGAGCTCCGAATGCTGGGAGCTCATCTGTTCTTGAACTGCCACTATTAATTAAGCCTGCATAAAGGTATGTTTGTCCCGGTGTAGTTCACAATCTAGAAAATGCTGGCTGGTCTTGCATAAGCTCTAGTGCTTGACCGACCTTTCCTTTAACCAACTTTATTCTAAGAACGACCACTGCACATCTTAAATATTTTTTATACGACTTCCTACCTTCGCAGCCATATATTCATTCTGCACTACAGAAATAAACTCTATCATGGAGGAGAGAAAGAAGAGGGGAGGAACTTGGAGTGGTAGCAGAGGAAGACTACCGAGCACAGGGGAGCAACATGTACAAAGGCCCTGGGGTGGGAAGTTGGCAGGGCCAAGAAACTGAAATGAGATTAATGTGACAAGCACAACAAAATAAGTCAGGAGGAGGTGGGCGGTGAGGCTGGAGAGGTAGGCTGGGGCGTCAGGGGCCCCGGTGGGAATGCTGGTCTTTAACTGAAGAACTATGGTGAGCTGTCACTGGTGTTTCACTGGAGGATGAGTCAGGCACACTCGTGTGTTGTAGGTGTCCCTCTGGCTGCACACTGGGCATCCCCTGGCCCCACTTCCCGGGCCAGGCCACAGAGAACACACTCAGTGTGTGTTTGCTGAGAAGACAGACAACCACAGCAGTCACCCTTGCTCCAGACATGGCCAGCGCCCTCCCGTGGTTCTGCCGAGCATGCGCTCTGCCTCGCCACCTCCCTGCACCTCCCTGCACCTCCCTGCACCGGCTCACAGGGCTCCACCCTGCCCTGCCCTGGCGCTCTCCTTGTTCCCATTCTCTGCCACGCTCGCCAGCTCCTTTCAGAGTGGTACTCCTGCTTCCAGAAAAGACTGACTCCTACCTCTTCTAAGAAGCCTTCACGGGCCACCTGTTGTGGACTGACCGACCTCACGAATGAATAAATGAGTACATGGAGTTTGCCTTTGAAGTAAGCAACCCTTCCTACCTGCCTCCCACAGGACTGGTGCTGCGTAGGCTTTTCCGCTGACCCGCCGACCCACCGACCCACCAACCCTTCAAGCTGGTGGGACCGTTTCACTCTACTGATGAGAAAACTGGGGCTCAGGAGAGACCACATAACTTGCCCATGTTCCCACGACTGGAGAGCCACAGATATGAGACTAAATGCAAGTCCTCTGAGTATTTCAGTTTTCATTTGTCCATCCACCCATCTAGCAAATATTTGCAGAGTATCCACTCTGTGCCACTGTGGGGTTGAAACACATCAGTGAACAAAACATACAAAGCTCCTTGCCCTTGTGGAGGTTCCCAGCTAGTAGATGGAGGCATGCAATACACCATAGGGTTAACAAATGAATAAGAGCATTACGTAAAGCAGGTAAGGGTGATTGGAGGAGCTGGTGGTGCTGGCAGTGGTCAGATCGGCCTCACTGAGCCGGTGACACTGCTGAGATAGTAGATTTTGTGATTCTGCTTCCCATGGCTTCTGTTGCACAATCAGCTTCTGGAGACTTCTGGAACCGCAGAGATGCCCACCAGGAGCATACTTGATGATATGAGAAGGATTAGGCCCAGCCAAGAAGGGAAGTGTCCAACGTCAGTACCCCGGGGCAGAACCCCTTTGATGTGATCCAGCTTGACCTTCCACATAATGCAGAAAGCCTTTGTGTGGCTTCCAAGCAGGTGGCTTTCCAAATGCATGTGGGCTGTCAGGAGGCTGGTTTCCTGTCTGCCCAGGCTGAGGTCATTCATGTGGGCACACACCAGAGCTGACAAGCTGGTGCGCTGAAGAAGATAATCACAGGCAGGAAGCCCTAGTTCCCGGCCCTGCTTTGCCCAGACGCTGACTTTGTGACTTGGGCAAATACCTTCTCCTTCCAGGGCCCTCGTTTCTCACCTGCGTCGTGAAGGGATTGCCCTGGATGATCTCCAAAAGCACTTCGATCTCAGATAACACTTTGCCATTTGTCTTGGAAATGATAGAGTCTGCTCCAAATTTCATCTACCTATTCTTTTTTCATGCATTCATTTGGCCAACAAATACTTATTGAGGATCTCCTGTGTGCCCGGGAGGGTGCCAGGTGTGAAGAAGCCAGGTGAGAGCTTAGAGACCCATGGCCGGCTTCCTCCCGTTCAGGCCCAGGTGGGTCAGGGCAGTGCGTGGTCGTGACAGTGGGAGCGTGGGGCCGGGGCCCCCTTCTTGTAGGGAGACATGCCCTCTATTTCCACTCAATTCCCCAAATTTGTTTCATTCCCAAACCACTGTTGATATTGTGGCTGAATCCCCAACTCTTTTGTGCTCTTATGCACTCAAGAGGGATCTTTAAATCAATCTATATCTCAAAAAAAAAAAAGAAATTTGTTCAAACAGAAAAATTAACGTCACAGCCATCTATAGAAAACCAGAAAACAGGCCACAGGTAGAAAATAACTAAAAATACATACAACACAAACAACCTGGCAATTCGACTCCACCCAGGCCTGAGCCCGAAGCCTGTTCCGTTTGGTTAAAGAGGGAAGAAAACGGACAAGACAGTGGTCACCAAGACACTTGTCTGTTTGAGCTCAAGGCTCAAACTCAGGACGCCACGTTGTCTGGTGCAGTGGTCTTTCATTTCAGGGACTTTGTAAGGGGCCTCAAGCGGAGGGAGGCTGGCAGGAGGCCCTGAAGTCCAGACAGGCTGAAGGTCAAATCCGAGCT